AAAAAAAACAGCTAGATTCCAAGACAAATGTATAAAACTAAAAACAGGAACATGTCAGCATTGGTCCCTGCCAGGAGTCCAACAGATTCTTAAAGCCACTTAGAGAGGTCAAGGTCGAGAGCTTCAAATCTTTTTGTAAGATATTCCAGGAAACAGGAGCGGAGTAGGAGAAGGCCCTTTTGCCTAGTTCAGTCCTCACTGAGGGAACACTGCAGGTAATAATGTCCTGAGAGCGCACTCCGTAGCTGCACTCACGCAGAGACATGTAGGAGGAGATGTATGAAGGCAGCAGACCAAGAAGTGATTTAAAGATGAAAATTAGTAAGCTGTTGGGGGAAGAATCAGTTTTGTTGTGTGCTTCCTTGACTGACGAAGCCTTCTGGATCGAAGGCGAAACGTTTCAGCACCAAAAAAAAAAAAAAAGAAACCGTCCAGATGACATGACTGAAAAATGTTGGGTATACCTGGATTATTGAGCATGGACTTTGTTGTTACTCTTCCTGTTACTTTACCGCAGTGGTTTGCGTGTCTGTTTAGTAGCTCCATCATATATTCTGAATGATGACAGAGCACGTAAGACAGATGTGTAAAACTTTAATTATTATTCGTGTTATATTTCACTGTTCGGATCGAAGGAAGACAAAAAATGAGGAACGTTTCTATCGGACCCTTTTAGTGTAACACCAGCGGAAGTAATTAAGGCGCTAGCATCGTTAGCATAGTTAGCTCTGTGTTTGTGGCTGTTCATGTGTGTGTGAGAGGTGAATGTGTTGAGTGTGTGCAGCAACAATGTCTTCAGTTCAGTCTCTGAGAGAGTTTATCAGCGAGCGACTAACTGCTGCTGCTGAAGAAATATTCACAGAGTTTGAAAAAACCATCGTCCGGTACGAGGAAGAGATCGATCGTCAGCGCAGACTGCTGGACATCAGCTGGAAACTACACAGAAGATCAGGTATTTTACTAAGAACAGAATCGTTACAGTCTGAGCTGATGCACCACGTTACATGATATTCTTGTTCTGGCTTTTCTCTCAGGGGGTTCCACAGGGAGTCCTCCATCTCTGTCCTCTGTCCTCACTCCATCTACCTCCATGTCCTCTCTAACTACATCCATATGTCTCCTCTGTCTTTTTCCTGGAAGCTGCATTTCTAACATCCTTCTACAAATATACCCACTGTCCCTCCTCTGGACATGTCCAAACCATCTCAGTCTGGTCTCTAATTTTATCTCCCAGGTGTTCAACCTGAGCTGTACCTCTGATGATCTCATTCCTGATCTTCTCCATCCTTGTCTTTCCTAAGAAGAACCTCAACATCTTCATTTCTGCCACTTCCAGTTCTGTCTCCTGTCTTTTAGTCCATGTCTCTGTCTCCAGACCATACAGCATAGCTGGTCTCACCACTGTCTTGTAAACTTTTCCTTTGACCTTTGCTGACACCCTTTTGTCACAAATCACTCCTGAGACTTTTCTCCATCACTCCATCCTGCCTGGACTCTCTTCTTCACCACACTCCCCATGTTCCTGGACAGTGGACCCCAAGTCCTTGAAGTCCTGAACCTTTGTGACCTCTGCTCCTTGTAGCCTCACTGTTCCACCTCCTCCCTCTCATTCATTCATTCAAGTTTATTTGAACAAGGAGTACAATAAATGACGTTACATGATAAAAACAAAACAACCGTTGTTTTGTACAAAGGTTTTTTAGCCACTGGCTAATTGCAAACAATCCTTGGTTGGCCTTTTAGATAAAAAACTGCTAAAATAAAAAAAAATAAAAAAACGGCTAAAATAAAAATTCACACACATGTACTCTGTCTCACTACGGCTGACTTTCATTCCATCCATCCATTATCTTTTGCCCTCTCTTCCATTTTGGGTCACGGGGGTCGCTGGTGTCCATGTCCAGCAATCACTGTGCGAGGGGCGGGGGACACCTGGACAGGTCTCCAGTCCATCACAGGGCCACATAGAGACAAACGAGACAAACAACCATTCACTCTCTCTCACCTAGGGACAATTTAGAGTTACCGATCAGTCTAACATGCATGTTTTTGGTCTGTGGGAGGAAACCGGAGCACCCGGAGAAAACCCACGCATGCACGGAGAGAACATGCAAACTCCACCCAGAAAGGCCCCTGGACCGGGATTTGAATCAGGGACCTGCTCGCTGAGAGGCAGCAGCTCTACCAGTTGCGCCACCGTGTTGCCCTTGACTTTCATTCCTCTTACAATTTTCAGTCAGGTCCTCTGGACGGTTTATTTTTTTGTTGTTACGTTTTGTTCTTCATCCAAAGGACTTCTTCACTCTGAGGAGCCATCAAACAAACCAATTCCCACAAACAGCATACTCCATAGTGGAAATTAACAGTTTGCTGGTGCTAAGATGGCCTCCGGGGCCCGCCCTCCCCAATGTATCAATCAAAACCAATGCAGACATGTTCCTGTTTTTAGTTTTCTACATTGATTTCAACCTAGCTGTTTTTTCCAACAATTTTCATTCAGGTCATCTGGACAGTTTCTTTTTTTTTTTTGCTGAAACTTTTCACCTTCCATCCAGAAGGCTTCATCAGTCAAGGAAACGCACAACACAAAACTGATTCTTCCCCCAACAGCTTACTCCAAAGTGGAACAAACCAGTTTTGTGGTGCTAACATGGTGTCTTTGGCACGCCCCCTCCTCCGGTGCCGGCCATCTTCCTTGTCGACAGTCATGTCAAACTGGTTCATAGCCAGTAAAGTCCATGCTCAATAATCCAGGTATACAATCCAACAATTTTCAGACCATCTTAGCACCAAAAAAACTGGTTTGTTCTACTTTGGAGTAAGCTGTTAGAGGGAAGAATCAGTTTTGTGTTGTGTGTTTCCTTGACTGATGAAGCCTTCTGGATGGAAGGTGAAACATTTCAGCACAAAAAACAGAAACCGTCCAGATGACCTGACTGAAAATTGTTGGATTACAATAATCCAACAACAGGTATACATACCTGGATTATTGAGCATGGACTTTGTTGGCTAGCTGTTTTTTGTTTCATTTTTAAATACCATTTTCTTGCACTTGTTCTTCTCACTTTGTATACTTCCTTTTATGATTGTCCACTGTTGTCATCACTTTATTAAAATCAGGTCTCTCTTGTGAACGAGTCCCTGTGGCTCAATGGGATTAACCTGTATAAATAAAGGTTGAATGAAAAGTGGTAAAAATTATGGACTATTAAAGGCATTATTGATTCACTGAGTCAGATATTTACCTCAAACATGTTTTTTACAATTTCAACATTTTCCAAATTTTATTTAAACACGTTCAATGATTGAAGCAAAATGTGCTTTTTTATAGTCACAAGAATCAACATTTAATTTTGTTTTTCTGTCCAGATCTTCCTCAACACAATGTCTGGAATGAGGGGAAGATTCTCACTGACCAGCACCAGGAACAGAACTTCAATTCAGACCTGGAGGAACCAGAATCTCCACTGATTAAAGAAGAGCAGGAGGGATGTTGTATTGGACCGGATGAAGAGCAGAAAGAAACTGAGGAAGGAAACTACTGGGCACCACACCCAATCTGGGACCAGCTCCACTCTCAAAACGTGTCTGAAGCTGATCAGGAACAAAGCAGAAATGAAGATGCAGGATCAAGCAGAGATGACCATCTGAAACTAAAGAAGAGAAGTCCACAAACCAGAAGTCACATTGACAATGTAGACAGTCCAGAACATAAAACATCTCACCCAGGTGACAAACTGTTGTCTTGTGAAATGTGTGCGAAATGTTTCTCTCCGAATAGTAACTTGACTGATCACGTTGGAACTCTCACAGGTGAGGTTTTCACATGTCAGACCTGTGGAAAAAGTTTTAGTCATAAACGTAACTTAATTGCACATGGGAAGATTCACACCAGTGAGAAGCCTTTCTCATGTCAGAGCTGTGGAAAAAGTTACACTTATAAAATAAGTTTAAAAATGCACATGAGGACTCACACCGGTGAGAAGCCGTATTCATGTGAAATTTGTGGTAGATGCTTCTCTTACGGTAATCAGATCACTGATCACATGAGAACTCACACAGGTGAAAAGCCTTTTACTTGTGAGACCTGTGGAAAATGTTTTAGTCAGAAGCGTAATTTAATGGCACACATGAGAACTCACACCGGCGAGAGGCCTTTCTCTTGTCAAATCTGTGGAAAAGCGTTCAGTAAAAACAGTAATTTAATCACACATGTAAGAACTCACACCGGTGAGAAGCCCTTTTCTTGTCAGGCCTGTGGGAAATGTTTTAATCATAGAGCAAGTTTAAAATCCCACATGAAATGTCACACAGGTGGTGAGGTGTAATATCTCAGACTTTGGGGGTTTGTTAAAGGTGAAGTGACAAAATATAAAAATGAGTTTTCACGTTTAAACGCAACATTCCAGTTGACAATTTCTCTAATTGGCGATTTTAATGATTTGTTTTTAGCGTTTTTGTGTCATCATCACAGAGTGGGGCGAATGTGAGGGAAGAGTTGCCGTCCTCGGTTGATGATGTCACTGCCAGCTGCGAGAGAACGCTGTAGGACAAGAAACGAGGTTACGGTCACACAGTTTATCAGTGAAAATAGAAGCAGAAGACTCCGTAGAATACAAAGAAATGCCGGAACATGTTGAAGGTCAGCCATAGCTGTACGAACCTGAACCGACTGCTGGGTCTCCTAAATCAAGTCGACTCCCACAGATGTGGATTCAGATGAACGCTGCCACGATGACGAGCCCCTCGTTCTCACGGTGAGATTAGTTTTAGGCTGAATAATGAATATTTACGCTCTCTCTGTGGTGTCTTCCTGCCGCTTGACCCGGTTCAGGCTGTCAGATCCGGTCAGCTACCCTCCATGTACTCCTAAACACAGGTTTGCTCAGGGCCCGTCAAACAATTGAACCCTTGACACTCGAGAGACAAAATTAATAGCCTCTATGTCTGTGCAGTTGCTAACAGATTGTTTTACTAGACTAGACAAACGAGACACTGATTTTTATGTCATTTTATACATTTTTGTTCTTTTAAATCGTCTTTGGTTCGGTAGTTTCTAAGTGAACCACTGTGTTTACAAGCGAGCACACAGAGGAGTTGACTGAAATCTGCCAGCTCCCGGTCGAACAGCACCAAAACACCACGGTAACCTCAGAACGTGAAGAATATCCAGTGTCCAACCTAAAACTAACTTCAAAGTGAGTTCTTTCTTTTTTCAACAGCATCTCTGTCAACTTTCTGTTTGTAAGGAAAAATAGTTGTGACAGCTTCTGGCAAAAGTTCTTGCTCTGTACATCAAGCGTTCTTCAAAATGGTGGCTGCACAGTTGGTCACCTGACTTTGCCTTGTCATTTTCACGCCGGAGCTGAAGTAGCCATATCAGTCGAACTTTGTTGTCTTTCTGGAAGGTGGAGAATTAAACACCAGTTGTATAAAGTAGGGTGCACCAGAAGAAGGTGTGCAAAAATATGTTGGGTATGTAAGCTGAGAGTAATGAAATTTCAATCCTGTGTATTTCCTGTACATATTGCAGTTTTGACACTAAAGTTGACCTTGACTTGACTTTGACTAAATAAATTCAGCTCAGAAAGTAGTTATTTAAATGTTTTTATGTTCAATGTTATAAAAAAATAAATAAAAACCCTTTGATGTACATTGTTGTCTCTGTTCCTTGTCACTGCAGAGTTACTAACGAGTCATGATGACAGTTTGTGGAAAATGTGGATGACTGAGAGACGCCCTGAAGTTGAAGCAGAAACAAAAAGAGCGCCTCCCGATGGCCGGCTGTAGAGTAGGTTTTAAGTCGTGTCCTCCATCTTGTTTTGGAACTGAAGGTACACCTCCAATATATTGCTTTTCAAAATATAGATTATGCCTTTATTAGTAGTTCTTGGTGCTTTGTTCCATGGTCACATGCCGTCCTTGCTGATGACCCCCCACACCCCCTCCCAATGTCACCGCTACGCTATTGGGATGGTGTGCTGCAAACCAAAAAAAGTGTAAGTGGGCATCACGGTGGCTCATTTGGTAGAGCTGTTACCACTAAGCAAGATGGTTGCTGGATTGAATCCTGGCCGTGAACCATTCTGGGTGGAGTTTGCATGTTCTGCATGGGTTTCCTTTTGGGGTACTCTGGTTTCCTCCCACAGATGAAAAGTGTTAGGCTGCTTGGTAACTAATTGTCCCTAGGTAAGGGTGAGAGAGCGAATGGTTGTTTGTCTCTTTGTATCCATGTGATGAACTGGAGACATGTCCAGGGTGTCCCCGGCATCTTGCACAATGACTGCTGGATAAGGACATCAGCGACCCAGAAAGGTAGAAGCAGGTAAAAGATACTGGATGGATGGAAGTCTGCTACTGGGAGATTGACACTTTGAAGCCCCAGATCATCACAAAATGTTAGGTTGGGAAAAGTGAAGCACCTACATCAAGGTTCTTTATTTGTCATTCACACCACATGTGGAACATGGGGTGGAATGAAATTGTGTACATCCAACAAAAGTATTAAAATAAAAACAGTAATAAGATCTAAGATATGAACTAAGAAAAACATCAACTAAAAACACTATAAGCACTACTAGCATAGAAACTACGCTGAACAGCAGCACGAACATGAGTCTGTGTGAAGATGAGTATGAATGAACACGACAACATGAAACAGATCAGCAGCAACATGAAACAGATCAGCAGCAACATGAAACAGATCAGCAGCAACATGAA